GCGGGTACCTATAGTCCCAGCTACTTGGAAGGCTGAGGCAAGAGAATCGCTTGAGTCCAAGAGTTTGAGGTTGCTGTGAACTGTGATGCTACAGCACTCTATCCAGGGTGGCATAGTGAGACTCTGTCTCAAAAAAAAAAAAAAAAATTAATACCTTCATGTTCAAATTGTAGTAGATAGCTTCAGTTTGTAGAGTAAGAACAGTATTAAATATAAGGGTTTTGTTTGAGTAACTTTTTCATTATTTAAAAGTGAAGCTTTTCTCTTTTTTGTGGATTTTTAGTTGAATGTAATGTAGGGTATGGAAAACTTCCTCTCCCGCTGAAAGTTTGATAAGTGCATCTAGGAAATGAACTGACTGTAGACAGATTCACAGGAGAAAACCCATTTTAATTATGGGAGTCCCACAAAATAGGAGACTCAAAGAAGAGCCAGATAATTAAAGTTTATACAGTACCCTGAGCTATACAAAGGAAGGGGCTGGAGCTTTGGGGGATTGCAGGGGGTGAAGAGGACACAAATTTCGAAGATAAGAAATGTGTGATAAACAAATGTCAGGTAATAAAAGTTGGCCCCCAGAAAAATAGGCCTGACAGGGTCTGTCTGGGTGTGGGGCATATAGGGGCAAGACTCATAGTCTCTTCTCCTGTGATACAGTTTAATCTCCCCAGATTGATGAGATTCCCAGGAAAGAAAGTACAGACAGTCCCTCCCTGTGCTTTGGAGGAGAAAGAGGGAGGAGAAAGAAGAGGGCAGAAGAAAGGTCAGCCAGGCCTTGGTTCTCCTGTAGTTCAAAGCACTCACTGTGCAAAGCATCATACTTCTGGGCCCCAACAATAAACTCACAACTTTGCTTATTTGTATATATTTGCCTTTTGAAGGTCAGTGGTTAGTATTTTTCTTACCTTGTGAAGTTTCAAAATTTGCAGGACTCAAATTAGACTTAAATTTTAAAATTTATTTGGGTAAAGAAAAAAAAATTGGCCAGGGTGTGGTGGCTCAGGCCTGTAATCCTAGGACTCTGGGAGGCTGAGGCGGGTGCATTGCCTGAGCTCAGGAGTTGAAGACCAGCCTGAACAAGAGCGAGACCCCCATCTCTACTAAAAATACAAAAAACTAGCCAAATGTCGTGGCAGGTGCATATAGTCTCAGCTACTTGGGAGGCTGAGGCAGGAGGATCACTTGAGCCCAAGAGTTCGAGTTTGCTGTGAGCTACAATGATACCACAGCACTCTGCCCAGGGCAACTGAGTAAGACTCTTGCCTCGAAAAAGAAAAAAAAAAATCATTGAAAGCAGACAGTGAATTTTTCTTAGAAGAGCTAGGACACTTTTAGTTTTTAATGATGATCCAGTTAAATCAATTTGATTTTCCCTTGCTCTTCCTTCACTTACTGTCCATTCTTCTGATAGAAAGGGCCAACTGCCTAAGTGCAGGTGGCAGGGTTGTTTTCTGCTCATCAGAGTCAGTAGCAATAAAATTCAATTGCTGGATCAGCCAAGCATGTTCTGAATTCTGACCTCGTCAATACAGTAACATTTTTGTATGATTATGTCTGTACAATTTGTTCCAAAACATTACCCTGCAAAGCAGGCTGAGGGGTGGGGAGCTGGCAGCCTTAAGGTGACATGGGACATTTTAGGTCCTTAAGTGCAACCTTTTAACTAAATCCAAATATGAACAAATACTTTTCTTAAAGGGGCACAACAGAGAAAGATGAAGCTTTTCTTGCCTCCTTTGGTGCCTAAAAAAGAACAATCTTAAATCAGAAGGCCACGGGTTCCTGCTCCTGCCCTGGGGCAGGTCAGAGCTGAGGAGCCACAGCTTGCAGGCCAGGGCAGGTCAAGGCATTTACGAACTCTAAAGTCACAATTAGAAAGTCATTTCATCCAGGCTATGTGCAGTGTTCAGAGAAAATCTTTAGATACTTAAATTTAGGTGATGGTGAATTATTATAAAAAATAAAATAAATTTAATAGAGTTAAATGAGCAAAGAATGATTTGTCAATCGTGCAGCTCTCAGAACTAGCAGGGGTTCTGAGGACATGGCATGGCATGGAGAGGCAGCATTTATGGACAGAAAATGGCAGTGAGGTAAATAGAGACAGCTTGGTTGTGGCCCCGCTGCTGCCTTACTTGGGGATGGTCTTAGCAATCGGGAGCCTATGATTGACTGATGCTTGGTTGCTATGATTGGCTGAGACTCAGCTATTTGTTACAAAAGAATACACCCAAGTTAGTGTAAAGTTAGTTTACATGCCTACAGTTAGTTTGCAGTTCATTACATAGGGACTCACGGTGCAGAGGCAGCCTCAGGTCAAGTTTAATTCAGCAGTGGGTAGGCGGCAGATATCAGTCTCAGAATCCCGACTGAATGGAAAATGTTTTCACTTTCTGCACATTTTGAGCAGAGTGATCTTTTCTCCTCCAGGCCTCCAAAATGGCCTTCCATCTGCACTGACACAGCAACTCTAAGAAGTATCCGTTTATTTTTAAATACATGCTCAAAAAATGTGAAGAAGCCAAAAGAATGATTTTTTTAAAAGCCCTAAGATATAACTATTGTTAAGTTAATATAACTTTGGTATATATTAGTGGTAACAGACGCTGAGGGTGAGTGGCAAATATGAGCCACATACATAATTTAAAAATTTTCCATGCCCATGTTTAAAAAGGTTAAAAGAAATAGGTGAAATTAATTTTAACAATTCTTGAGCAGAGCAAGGTGGCTCACGCATATAATCCTAGCACTCTAAAAGGCCAAGGGGGGTGGATTGCTTGAGCTCACAGGTTTGAGACCAGCTTGAGCAAGAGCAAGACCCTGTCCCTAGCAAAAATTTTAAAAAAAGAAAAAAACAAACTGAGGCAAGAAGATTGCTTAAGTCTAAGAGTTGGAGATAGCTGTGAGCTATGATGACACCATGGCACTGTACCCAGCCAGGGTAACAGCTTAAGACTCTGTCTCAAAACAGAACAACAACAACAAAATAGTACTTTAGCAAAGCAGTTTTGGAACTCTCTTTCTGGAATGACCATCAGAGCTGTCATCGTACAAGGTCTAACAATTAAGTTCACAAAATCATCCTAGAAAATGTGGTCTGAAGGGTGGACTAGGCACTGGCATTGGTGCATAGCTTTCCCCCTTTCCCAAAAGGAAATAGTACTTCAAAGGTGACTGTAGTGATGATATTCAGCAATGAGGTATGTAGCACTTTTTCTAGGATGAGTTTGTGAACCTACTTGACCCCATATAATCAACTTAGAAATTATTAATGGGATCTTTTCTATTGTTTTGTACTATCTTTGACCCACGTATTTTACGTGTACAGTCCTTCTTACTATGAATGCCCAGCAGCCTCAAGTGGCTAGTGCCTTTTGCACTAAATAGCGCAGATAAGTGTGTGCTGTGGAACTTTACCCTGAATTTTGTTCACATGTTACATCAAAGGAAGGCGTATCCTTAGCAGCTTGCCCAGGTGTGAGTGTGCAGTAGAGGAGTAAGAGAGAAGAGTAAAGTTTAGAAATTGTCACCACTCACATGTCAAAAAAAAAGTCAGACCCTTCTTTTGGTTGGGGTGGGGACAGTCTGACTCTGTTCCCCAGGCTAGAATGCCATAGTGTCAGCCTAACTCATAGCAACTTCAAACTCCTGAGCTCAAGTGATTCTCCTGCCTCGGCCTCCCAAGTAGCTGTGACTACAGTCACCTGCCACCATGCCCGGCTAAGGCTGATCTCAAACTGTTAAACTCAAGCGATCGTCCCACCTTTGCCTCCCAGAATGCTAAGATTACAGGTGTGAGCCACCATGGCTGCCTGGCCAGAAGTCAGATTCTTTATGTGTGTGTGTGTGTGTGTATGTGTGTGTACTCACATATGTATATAGTACTGACATTTATCTCTCTGTGTATATCTATATACCTCCCTATCTATCTGAAATATGTATAGAATCCTTCTAGATAAGGAAATATGTTCAAAACTACATATTAAAAATGAATTGGGGAAGAGAGATTGGAAGGTACTATTAATACGTGGATCACAATGAAAGTTTTGATACAGGCTGTGTTATAGTCCATTATTTCACTATAAGAAACACAGTCCATGGGATCTTTTCTGATTCACCCATGCGAGTTTCAACTTGCTCAGCTTATGGGTGTTTCTGGGAGGGCTTCGTTTGTTTCTGCCTTCACAGAGTTTACATTTCTTGATTTTCGTGTATCTCAAAACTTTCATAATGACCTGTAAAAAAAAGCAAATGACTTAGCAAAAGAAGGCTGTGTACAGATAGTAAAGGTAGACACGTTAGGGAGGAGACACACAGCAGCCCCTCCCACTGGCGAATCCAGCTCAATCTTTGCCCCTAAAATAGAGCCCTTGCTGTTCCTTTTCCAGCACACGCCTCCCTGCCCCCCTGCAAAGCTACAGAGCTTCTCCCCTTTTTCCTTCAACTCTTTGTTCAACTCTAGCCCCGTCCACCTCCTCTGAGTTTCCCTTGCCTATGCTAAATTAGAGGCTTCCCCCACCCATATAATTCTCAGTCCCTTTTTTTTTTTTGAGACAGAGTCTCACTATGTCACCCTCGGTAGACTGGTAGACTGCATAGCGTCACAGCTCACAGCCAAGTCAAACTCTCATGCTTAAGCGATTCTCTTGCCTCAGCCTCCCGAGTAACTGGGACTACAGGTGCCCGCCACAACACCTGGCTATTTTGTTGCTGTTGTTGTCATTGTTGTTTAGTAGGCCCAGGGTAGGTTAGAACCCACCATTCTCTGTGTATGTGGCCAGTGCCCTAAGCACTGAGTACGGGTGCCGAGCCCAGTCCCTTTTTTTTTTAAGATTCATAGTTTTTTTTTATTGTTAAGCAGCAACATACATGGTTTAATACAATAAAAAACATTTAATCAAATGCAAAGTAATAAACTGAACAAAAAACAAACACTCAAAACAAAATATTTTCCATTGGAAACATGTTAAGATGAATATGGGGTTTTGTTATGTTACCTTAAAAATATGAAATGCTTCATGAATTTGGGTGGCATCCTGGCACAGGTATGTGCTAATCTCCATATCGTTCCAAATTTAGTATATGTGCTGCCGAAGCGAGCACTCAGTCTCTTTATTGGACGTACTGTTTCTTCAAAGCAGCTACCACTTATAGGATTTGTTATTTATAGTGTATCTCCCCCAGTGAAACTGAAGCTGAAGAAGTTAATAGTCTGGGTCTGCTTTGGCCTCAGCATTTAGCAAAGAGGCTGGCAGACAGTAAGTTCTCAGTTAGTGTTTGTTGAATGAATGTGTGATGGATTAGGAGAAGAAAATGGGGAGAATAGCTGGAAAAGAGTAAGAAACCGCCACTCTCCGTGCCCATAAGCGTTTTTGGAAAACACGGGTTATGATTTTCCTTTCTTAAGAAAAGCAGTTTTGTTTTCTGGTACCAAGAATAACATTAGGCTAAGGATTTCTGGAATGCTTTGGGGTTTGTTTTAATGAATAGATGGAAATTGTATCTATTTAGCATTCATTTTTACGTGTAAATGGGGATGTTCAAATTGTATAAAAGCAGTTTTCTTGAATAATTTAAATATTCTTTTTATCCTGCAAAGCAGTTAGTACACTCATGTCTTAAAGATTCTATTACTGGGAACTAAAATCATAAGGTTTAAATGCAAAATAAAGGGGTATTTTCTCTTTATGCAGGTATTTAAGTGACTGCTTCAGAACTGGACAGCCTCAAGAGTCACATAGCAAGGATCTCGGGGAGCCAATAGGATGGTCTCTGATAACATCAAAAGTCAGGATATTTTATTAAAAATAATATGGGAAGAACAAAGAATTCTTTATAGTAGAATTCAAACAAATAGAAGTAGAAGAAAAAAATGGAAATAGAAAGTCACCACTAGGCAAAATCATTGTTGCAATCTACATATGACAAAATTTGTGAGTAAAAGTATGAGGAGCGTAGTCTCAAAGTATCTGTCCACAAGATATATTTAATTACAAAGGGGAAAATAATATTTGCAGGGAGAATCCTGCTGGACACCACCTGAAGCAAATGACCAAAGGTACCATCACCAGGAGCAAGGCACGTGGGCTCTGTTCCCCTCATGATGTAAGGCACTGAGTGGGCACAGCTTCCTGGTAGGGGCTTTTTGACAAAATGCAGAACCCCAATTTAATCACGAAGAAACACCAGACAAACCCAACTTAAGGGACATTTTACAAAATAACTGAGCATGGCTTTTCAAAAGTGTCAAGATAATTGTAGGGGTGGTGCCTGTGGCTCAGTGGGTTGGGCGCTGGCACCATATACCCAGGGTAGCGGGTTCAAACCTGGCCCCAGTCAAACTGCAACAAAAAAATAGCCAGGTGTTGTGGCGGGCACCTGTAGTCCCAACTACTTGGGAGGCTGAGGCAAGAGAATCACCTAAGCCTAGGAGTTGGAGGTTGCTGTGATCTGTGATGCCACTCTACCGAGGGTGATAAAGTGAGACTCTGTCTCTATAAAAAAAATAATAATAATACTTGCATGATTAAGGTAGATTGAGAAAACTGTCTTAGATGTGAGGTGGTCATAGGGATAGGAAATAAAATGCAATATTGGATCCTGGATTAGATCCTGGACCAGAAAAAGAACACTGGTGGCCAAGTCTGAGCACCATCTGTGTATTAGGTAATAGAATTGTGTCAACATTAATTTCTTGGGTTAGATAATTACCATATGGCTGTGTTAACATTCGGGAAAGCTGGGCATGGTAATATGTGACCTCTGCAAACTATTTTCACCACATTTTTAAGTCTGAAATGAATTCAAAATGAAATGTTGAAAAGAAAGAAAGTATATTGACTTGGTCATCTCATGTGAGCATAATAATGTTAAATAAGAGTCATAATACTAGCTGTTACTGGTTGGACTGTGTCCCCCCTGAAATTTATATGTTGAAGTTCTAACACCCAGTACTACACCTCAGAGTGTGACTTTATTTGGGGCTGTTGCAGATGTAATTAGTTAGGATGAGATCACATAGGAGCAGATGGGCCCCTCACGCAATGCAACTGCCATGCTCAGCAGAAGGAGAAAGGTGGACGCAGATGTGCACACAGGGAGAATGTCCAGCGAAGATGGAGGCAGAGACGGGGAGGTGCAGAAGAAGTCAAGGAACCCCAGGGCTGCCATCAAGCCCCCAGGATCTAGGGACAGGGAACAGACTTCCTCAGAGCCCTTGTGGCCCTTTGTCACAGCAGCCCTAGAAAGACAACACACTAGTTAACGCTCATTGAGAACTGACAGCGTGGGAGGCCCGTGCTGGGCTCATCACATGCATTATCCCATTTCAGCTTTGGCCTTTTGCCGTAGATGTTATGACCACTTCTAATTTGTAGTTGAGAGAGTTGAGGCACAGAGTGGGTAAGTAACTTGCTTCAGGTCACACAACAAGTAAAAAGGCAGAGTGGGCTAAAACCGTAATAGTCTGACACCAGCGTCTTCCTAACCACTCACAACTGCTGCTTTGCTCTGGCTTCCAGTCCCGTAGATTGCTAGTGGGATGTGAAATGGCCCCTTTTGATTGATTTCTTTCTACCTCATCTATAAATTCCAGGGATGGAAAACAGTTACGTGCACATGAGGATGCCAGTTCCTATTGCCTTACTGCCCATTCCTCCACAAGCACCCAGCGCCTGTGAAATCACATGAAATCAGGTATCTGCTTGTTAACCTCCTAAGAAAGTGCCTCAGTCATCCAAGGAGAGGATCTACATCAAAAAGGATACTACATTTTGCCCTATATAATACACAATTTTTTGCCTGAATTTTTGAGGGAAAAGTAAGGATGCATATTATCCATGTGTAGTGCAGCTCAGGATCAGAGGAGCCCAGCAGGACTTCTGGGGCCACTGTATCCTCCTGCCTTGGCCTGCTGGGCACAGTAAGTTCCAGTCTGGGAGGATCCAAGATCTGGGGGAAGCAGGCCAGAGCAGCTTCTGCTGAGTGTTGCAACCAGGGGAGGGAGGTGGTAGTGTGGCTGGCAAGGTGGGCCACAGCGAGTGAGGTAAGGTCCAAGGCCTGAGGCCCAGTCATGCAGAGGAGACCAGGAGTCCCACACAGGCCCCAGGGATCCACCTGGCTACACACAGGCTGAGTGGCCTCAAAACTCCTGCCCTGCTGGCCACATGCGTGGCCATCTCAGCTGTGGTCCCCGATGTGGTGGCAAGGGAAGGGCTCCAGGGAGAGAGGGATGGGGCAGCCTTTGTAGAGAAGATCACTGGAAGAGGACAGTGTGATCTGCACATTACTGGGGGGGGGCATCAGCCCTCCCCAGATGTGCCTCTCTCAGATGAGACCTGGCCACTGTCTTGAGGAGCATTTCCCAGAAAGGTTAGGCCAAAATGTAGATGCACATTATACACAGGAACACATTATAAATGGCAAAATACCATGATTTAAGTGAAAATTTGGGATTAAACTCAAGCATCCAAATCATGAGGGGCTGCATTCTGGGGCATTAGAACTATTTAAGGAAAGCAGAGAGAAAACCTTTGCTCTATTTTATACCAAATAGTCTAAGAGAGAATTGCCCACTGGGTTTCATGCATTCCTTCATTGAATTAAGCTTTATGGAGCATCCTGGGTTTCTTGGCACCAGGCTCAGCCAGCATGACTTGAAGAAAAAAGTTCCAGTTGGTTTCTCATCCAAGGTTGCCCCAGAGCAAAAAGGTGGAGGTGGAAACTTTTGAGGCAAATAAATCCCCACAGCTCAACTCTTAATCCTTCTTCCCTCGGGTATCATCTTCTGAGTGACCAAAGGTCATTTCCCTGTGTGAACTGGTGATCTCCAGCCCCCTATCTCCAGCCCACATCTGCCCCATGGGCTCTGGACCAAGGCTTGGACACCCCCTTGGTTGCAGAGAAGTGATGGGGATTAAGTATCCACAGATATAGAGTGGGACTCAACATCTTCATTCTTATTTATTTATTTACTTATTTTTTCAACTCAAACCTGCTCCTCTTCTCTCAGTGAATGGTACCACAAACGGCCAAGCTGATCAATTCGAAAGTCTCCGAGTTCTGGGTGAGTAGGGACTGTGTTTGTTTCTGCTGAGGCAACATCCTGTTTCTAGCTCAGTCCTTGGAACATGTTCGTCCTGTGAAATGTGTTGAATGAACGAATGAGTGGGCTTCAGCCTTGATGCTTCTCCCTCATCACTTACGTCCACTTGATAAGTCCTGCCAATTCTCTCCTTCGTTCTAAGTGGCCCACTTATCTTTATCCTCACCAGCAACTTCCTAGTCAAAATTGTCATTCTCTCTCACCTGAACAACGACTGAGCCCTTTACCTGGTCACCCAGCCTTTTCTTACCACCTACCAATCTGTTCGTCATGTAGCAATGGCAGTGATCTGGTAAAAACAGAAATCAGATCTCATCACTTCTCTGCTTAAACCCTGTAATGGCTCCCTGTTGCCATCGTGATGAAGCCCACACTTGACATTTGAGGACCCATCCAATTTAGTTTCTATTTAGCTCTTTATCCTTTTCATCTTTCTCCTCTTCCTTTCCCTCTCCCACACTGTTCTTCAGATGAACCAACTTTCTGCTGGTCTCCGAATGTAACATGTCTTTCTCTCATCCAGACTTGAGCTCATGTTGTTTCCTTTACCTGGTATTCACTCTTAATTCTTCAAGACACAGCGTGAATACCTTCTCATTTGGGATCCTGTTTTAGTTTTGATTGTGCCTGCAGCAAATTATGATGTATTTAGCTGACTATAGCGATGTAAAGTAATTTTCATAGTTCTGCAGGCCAGAGGTCCAGGTGGGCTTGGCTGGGTTCTCTGCGTAGGTTCTTACAAGGCAAGGCTACCTTCCTTTCTGGAGGCTCTGGGGAAGAATATGCTTCCAAACTTATTCAGCTTGTTGTAGAACTTAGGTCCCTGTTTCCTTGATAGCACATGGCCCTCTCCATACTCAAGCCAGCAGCAACATGCCAAATACTCCCCAAGCTTTAAACATCACTGACATCCCTCTCTGCTGCATCTTTTGCTTTGAAGGACTCATGTGATTACACTGGTTCTATCTGGATAATCCAGGATACTCTCGTCATAGTCACA